ATGTTTTCTCTGCTTGATGCATGCCAATGATTTGACCCTTCTCAAACAGACTAACATCTTTTCCACGACCACGGGATGTGTCTTTCGACATGGTTGTTTAGGAAATGAGAAGCAACTCATTGCACCAGTTGGGGTTAAATAACTTGTTGCCAGCTGAAAGATAATCGCCCATGCAGTAATTATCCAATAGGAGGCTCGTACCTATTTGCTTAGTTAAATCCAGGTGGCGACTTTTTTTTTGGCCAGGCAGTGTATTTGCAAAACACAGTAAGTTTGTTTGCGAAACGGTGAACGTGCGTGAAACGCTATTGCCTGTTTGTGGAGTTTTGCCATTAATTTCACCCCATAGAGAAGTCATCTGCTCCCTACCTGTTTGTCCAGATAGCCTTTTCCATCGGGATCGGCCAAATCCCAGATCTGAAACACAGGACAGCACAAACACACAGCATGAAAGATACACTGAGATCTACTCTTGTGTCTCCCAGTTAATTCTTCATGTATCTCTTTTTAAATGCTTCATATATGGAAATCATTTGTGTGTGTTTTGTTCAATCTTAAATTGCCCCTCTTTCTCTTTCTATTAAAACATTGTAATATTTTGATGACTCATCTTTAACTCAGAGGTGGTTTCAGAAGGCAGAAAAACAACCACCATACGTATATGGCCTTCATCAATCTTACCAAAGCACTCAACTCTGTGAACCGTCAGGCCCTCTGGACAATCCTGTCAAAGTGTGGATGTCCAGAAAAGTATGTGCTCCTTCACTACAACATGTCAGCAACACTGCACTGTAATGGTAGTGAGACCGAACCTTTCAAGGTAGAAACTGGCATGAAACAAGAATGCATCACTGCCCCCACCCCTTTCACACATTTCATTGCAGCCATTCTCCACCTCATTGGTCACAGTGTAGCCCCAGGTGTTGAGATCATCTGTAGAACAGATAGCAAGCTGCTTAACTTAAACTGTTACGAGGCCAAGCTCACAATCTTTCCCACATCTATCGTGGACCTGCAATATGCAGATGATTAAAAAACAGCTCAATACTAACTTTTGGAGTGGAAATGTGCAAAAACATTTTTTGCCAACACCAGACATTAAACAAAAGCCTGAGACTATATCTTATTAAATTACTGTAAGCTGTAAAGGCACGACCTCTCAGCTGCCTCTGTTCCACTCACACTCACCTTAGGGCTGGTTCCATAGCTGCCTGTACCAGAGAGCAGTGTGAAAAAGAGAGGTGCTCACTCTGTAACTAAATCTGGGCACTGAAACATCACCAGAAGTACACTACAGACTGACTGGAAAAAAATACATAAAGAATCTCAGTCAGATCTCCATCAAAAAAAAACAACAACACCTCAGTCAGAGCATGCCAAGAGGCCTGGAGTTGAGTAATAGCGTTCCCAACCACTGTGGGACACTGTAACTTTGTGGCTTGATGTTTCAGCTCCTGTTTGTGTATCGTGGTCTGCAAGTCCCAGTGGTTGATACAAACAAGCACAGAGTGTATCACTAATATTGTATTAACACACGTCTCAGATGTTTGTCCTTCTGGTGGGAATGTCCATATACTGTTGAAATGATGATAGCACACAGTCCAGTCTACAGGCATCAAAATCCTCTATGATATAAAGACCAAAGCTCTGTGATACTTAGCCAGCATAGCATTAGCATCCTCAGCTGCCAGCTCCACCACTACCTTGATGGTTGCGCTGAGGGCACGACATTTAAATATAGCTGACTAGAGTTGGGTACTGTTCACATAACTGATACCAGTGTTGGTGTAGGTACCTCAAATTCAGTACCAGTTCTCCATGCTACCTTTTTTTCATAACTTTTTTCTGTCTGTTGGCTAATAACAAAAATGTGATTACTGAATGAGATGCAGTCAACAAGCAATTCTGCTCCTCTGCTCTTTTCTAATCACACAGAGTGTCTCTGTCTGTCTGTCTGTCTGTCTGTCGGTACGCAGGTTTCTGCTCATCTCCCTTGCTCTCTGATGTGACACAACTGACAAATATGTGAAATAACTATGTTATTTAAAAAACAGAATAAGAAACAGTAGTGACACAAGGCTATTTCTAAAAATAAAATAAAAAAGAAAACAGACCAGATAGACCAAAATCAGCACTGCAGCCAGTGTCAGAAATTAGCAAGGGCCATGGGCCATTTGGCCCGCAATTTATCCAAGAATGCCCCCAAAAGCCATGTTCCAGGGGCCAAAATTGCCCCCAAGTTTTTGAAACAACTATATGTATTTATATTTTTTACAGTATTACAATCTGACATTAAAGTATAATTTTATTTTCATTAAATTAATTTACCGTCACGTCTACAACTCATTTTCCAGACATAATCAGTGAGATTGCACTGATTACGTGAGAGTAATCTGACAGAGAAGGGGAGGGGGCTTTGCCGTACCATAAGTATAGACTAACCATTTCTTGGGTGATCTGTGTCTACACAATGAAAAATTAAGGTAGAATGAATGTTAAATTTTAAATTAACTTACTTCCACGGTTGCATCTAAGGAATTTATAGTAATTTGGCCTTTTTAACAGTAAAAGTAACTGTAATGTGGTGAAACATTAGTACTGCTATCAGTAGATTAATGGTTAAATCATCACATTTAAACTGGTTGAATGATAGGAAATCTGAGTGATATTTTGCAACCATAACTTTATGTAACCCATTATTTATTTCATTTATAATGGTTTCTACTGAAGAGTGAAGACACTATCTTAGTTGGTTTTGCTTTTCATGTGCTTATTGTTAGAACATAATTACAATTTTTTGATGGCCCCCAAACATTTCGAAAATGCCCCCATTTTTTAGACCGTGGGGGCCAAAATTGCCCCCAAAATATTTTGTTAATTTCATACCCTGACTGCAGCGATAGTTTTAGCTTGCTGGAAAACAGACAAAGCTTCGTAGTTGGCGTCCCAGCTTCGGGGCACTTCGCAGAGCTTCCTTTACAAAGTCTCCTTTCTTAACCCAATGGCTCTGCGGAGGTCAGTGTCTGCGCCACAAAGGGCCCCGAAGCCAAGAAGCCTACTGCAGAGTTCCACATCCACACTTCATCCCTGTACAGATGAATTAATACAGTTGAAAGTCCTTTATCACCTGCATTTTTCAAATGCTACATATTCTAAGCTGTGGATACTTCATACTCATCCTTAACATGGCAGCACAGAAGATCCACACAATAAGCACATTTTCAAGGTGGACACCCAAGACTAGTGTCACCAATTTAGTTTCTGACCAAAGTTCTCCCCTTCTATTCCTGAGATAAAGCACTGAATAATGGCCAGAGGTGTTTTTTAAGAGGCTGACCTTTGACCTTTTGGATTTAAAATGTCATCACTTCATTTTTTTATCCTATTTGTGTTAAATTTTGTCATAATGAGCATATGAATTCTTGAATTATGGCCAAAAAGCGGCTTTGTGAGGTCACACTGACCTTTGACAATCAAAATCTAATCAGTTCATTGTTGAATCCAAGCGAACTTTTGTCCCAAATTTGATTAAATTCTTTCAAGGCCTTCTTGGGATATCACTTTCATGAGAATGACACAGACCAAGGTCACAGTGGCCTTGAACTTTGACCTATGACCACAAAAATCTAGACAGTTCATTGTTGTTTCCAAGTGAACATTTGTGCCAAATTTTAAGGAATTCCCTCAAGGTGTTCTTGGGATATTGTGACAGCCACATCTATCGCTGGCACAGAGGCATAAAAACAAAGATTTATAGTATATAAGATTTATGTGTTTATACTAGGGCTGTGATGGTATGTATTTTTTCTCACAGCAGTGACAGACTGACGTGCCTCATCCAAATTCACTGGTTGCCCCTTGTCATCTGGTATAAATCCAAAATGTGCCCAAATTGGCGACTTAAAGGAACACTCTGACGATTTGGGAGTTATGCCCTTTCCCTATCATTTTCATATTGAGACAACATGATGGATATCATTGCCTACAGTAAAAGTGAACAAATAAACGTTACAGAAACCCTGAAGCTGGCATTTCTGCACGTGCATTTAAAATAAACATGTTTAAACATTAATTCAAAAAACGAGAGTCCGTTTTAGTCGTTTTAGAAGAGGTTTGATACATGAACTATAGTGTGTTTACGTCCTGCGCGGAGGGATACACCGGTGAGCAACAGCTGCAGCTGGCTCTGGGACAGGTACGCTAGGTCACTCGGTAAAAGCAAACAAAGACACGACACGGACAATATTACTCACTCGACTGAAAGCTGTCCATCAGCTCCTGCAGGCCTGGGCGTTTTTTCCAGTTTAACATAGTGATTGCTGCAAAGTTTTCACTCCTTGTGATGCACTCTCTGCGGCAGTTTTCCTCCTGATGATATATCTCCCCAACGATGGTAGCACCGAATCCCATTCTGTGCAGCCAAATGATTCAACCTCCGTAGGAATATGTCAGCTAGCCCCGCAGCTACACCACCAGTCCTCCCCTGACCTCCGTCTCCCCTCGGCCCGTTGCTGCTCTGCCGCTCCGGAGGATTCAGCCTCTCTTCTCGCCCGCTCAGCATCCAACACATGGAGTTCCTCATCTGTATGCTCCGGCTCAAACAGGTATGACTCTGGGTCTGTGTCCGCTACAAGAAACTCCTCAAAATTGCGTTCAAAGTCGTACATTGCAGCTACTATATAGGAGATATGGCTAGGCTAAATAAACAGCTGAGTTTTGTTTACAGGCTACGTCTGTGCCTGTGCCTGCTCACCGGTATCCACCATCCACAACAATATCCATCATGTTGTCTCAATATGAAAATGATACCGAAAGGGCATAACTTCCAAATCGTCTGAGTATTCTTTTAACATTTGGCTTGGGAACCAGGGGCCTGTATCACGAAGCGAGATCAACCTTTCCTGGGTTATCCAGACCTATCCTGGGTTGACTAACCCTAACAATGGCAATCAGGGGCCTGTATCACGAAGCAGGATTAATGTCTTAGCGAGGTAACTTCAGGGTTAACCCTGGGTTTTCGGTCTCACGAAGCCGGTTCAGTTCTTATCGGGGTAGATCACCATGGTAACTTAATCTGAACGGCTATCCTGCTCCGGAGCAGGTTAAGTTCAGGGTTGAGCCCAGTCATGACGGGAAGTTTAATTCATTTGATTGATTTTGATTTGAAAGTTTATTTTGAACACTAAAAAGAAAAGAAAGCAACAACAGACAATGAAAAGAGGAGTGTAAAGAAGTCGAAATTTCATCCCACCCCTTCATCAGAAAGAAACTGATAATTTGCGAACACTTAAAAGCACCATTAATTGGTGCCAACATTTTTTTTGTTGGAGGAAATGATCCCTGTTAAAGATAATGGGCCTAATTGACAGCTTTGCTGCTGGAAATGTGGAAAGTAGCCTATCATGTCTACACTTCAT